TATCAATCTGTAATAAAAGACGTGAGGAAATTCTGTCTTTTTTAAAGACAAAAATGTTTGAGGCGAAATACCCAAAAAGAAGTTTGTAAAAAATAAAAAAAATAAAACAACTGTTAGTGTTATATATGCAAGATAACTGCAAAATGCTCCCATTTCTACATGGCTGGATAGAGGACTAAACTGCACATTTGTGAAGTTTGCCGCCAAATCGTCCTGGGCGGTGCTTGTTTGTGACAAAGCAAAACACCTATTTTAGCCCCGCGTTTAAACTAACTAACTTTGGAGCGCCTAAATATACAAAATGCACGCAAACGGCGCAAATATTAGCCAGCGACTGGATGTATTTCTTCAATATCTTTGCCAATTCTAACAGTTAAAAATACGCGAAAAGTCTAAACGATTATTGACCGATCAAGTGATTCAATTGGCTTGTTAACGTCATGGAAGATTTTTTCAAGCCACCGTCTCTGGTCTGTTGACCATGTGGAAATAAATCCATACAATTGCGACAAATTTGGAAGATTGTCAAGCCATTCCCATCCAGACTGACCGGTTCAAACCGGTAAAAGGCTCGCATGTATGTGATCGTTATTATTGTGTGAAACCCGTATTTTTAGCGTTCGCAGATCGAATTCGTCCAGAAAAGTGCATAGTTTTGTCGCCACCATCTGCCCAGATTCGATAGCGTTTTAATGAGTTTTATTGGGCCGCCAATTTGTTTATTTGTCGGCATGGCCGACTAATTAATTATATCGAACCATCATCGTCAAACTTTCATTTGCTTTAGTGCTGTTGTGTTCCCTTACCCGCCCAGACCGAAAGAGGCACGCGAAAATGTGTCATGTGGTGAAATGATCCGGGCAAACGTACGTTTCAGTGTTTTTTTACTTTTGGAAAATTCTTGGCTTCGTTGGCTAAATACCGCCCACCCTGTGTATTTTTTGGGCGGTTTTATCGCATTGAAATTGTAAAAGTTTGCCTCAAAAGAGTCCGCAATAGACATACACAATTACGCGCGAAGTGTATAGTGCAAGTGATGATTAGTCCGAAAAGAAAGAATGTGAAGTCTGCAGTTGCTTGGGCCGGATCGGACATCATCATCAAAATCTGCACGCCCTTTGAACAGGAACCGCTTCCCGAATGCATCGATGATGGTCAGTGCATCTAGCATGTGAGCATTCATTTCCAATCATCTGCACACTATTATATTCCTATCTTTCCTGGGTCTCAGTCAAAATGTGAAATAAAAATGTTTATTTCATATTACGTTTCGGCGAAACAACAGCGCCATCATCCGATTTAAAATTTACACAAACTCATAATTGGTAAACATTAACGTTCTTTTAGGTCTTTGCCTTGTTGAAACCTTAAATTTGTCTTTGAAGACAGTAATATTGAGTAATATTTTCAGTATTTTGATCCTCAACTGTCTTTTATGGACTGTGAAAGTTTCAAGTGTCTGCTTGCTCTAGATGGGAAGTTGCAATTTTTTGAAGCAAAGAGTGCTTTTGGGCGAAATCGCGCATTTTTATGCCAACTTTTCGAAGTCGCTAAAAATCGGGGATTCACGCGATTTGAGTAATATTTTCAGTATTTAGATCCTCAACTGTCTTCTATGGACTGTGAAAGTTTCAAGTGTGTGCTTGCTCTAGATTGGAAGTTGCGATTTTTTTAAGCAAAGGGTGCTTTTGGGCGAAACCGCGCATTTTTATGCCAACTTTTCGAAGTCGCTTAAAATAGGGGATTAACGTGATTTGAGTAATATTTTCAGTATTTTGATCCTCGACTGTCTTCTATGGACTGTGAAAGTTTCAAGTGTCTGCTTGCTCTAGATTGGAAGTTGCGA